TTGATGTAGTGAGGTTTTATCTAGATCCCACGATTCTAAGTTATATAAAAATATAGAGGAGGCTGGCTTAGCCACCAAATTCCAACTCCAGAATGGCTGCAAAATCAAATTTTCAATCGACTTTTATTTAATAGTTACCAAATTTTCCTACCTTGTCAAAATTACTGAATCTTCCATTACTGAATTTTCCATTACCAAATTTTTCTAAATTCATAAGATTCGGTTAGCTACTGAATTTTCCGTTACCTAATATTCCATTATTAAATTTTCCAGGCACCACTGCAACAATATCAGGGCTGTACTTTCTGGATGGTGGGGTTAGGGGCTAAGACGACCTCTAATATTTTTAAATATATTTTTAAATAAGTAAAATTGATTTATCTACATTAAAGTTAAGTTCTTGTAGCTTCTTTTGAAATTATTATTTTAATAATACTTTGTTTTAAAGAAAGCAGAGATAACCTAGACTCTCTCATGGACACCCTTGAGCTTGAACGCTTTACGGAAGCAGGTATTCACTTTATTGGAGAATACCTGGAGGTAATGAAACACTTTGCGCAAGCGCTAAATCTTGTCCAGAGTGAGAAAAACTGTTACACTGGCTTCCTCCTTCTAACAATTGAACTCTTGAAGAAAAAGCTTAGAACACAAATTGTGTTATTGCATACCATTAGTGGATGTCCTGTGTGATGGTATAAATAAAAGATTTGCTTCATAATTTCAAGATAGAAATTACCTTCTGGCGGCATTTCTAATCTCACAATTTAAAAGCTTGGATTGGGTAAATGTCCAAGAAACTAAGACATATATCTTGGAAGAGGTGAAGAACGAAATGTCCAGCCTGAAAATGGACAATTCAGGTTTAAGGTCAAGTAGCAATGAGGAGTCTAAGTATGACTTCATTCTAAGTATCCAAAAAACAGAACTCATCAGCATTTGTTGAGAAACTTTTCAGCCTTGGAGGAGGAATTTTTTGAAAAATCATCACAGCTTGAAAGACGGAAATTTCGAAAAGCAACAATTACTAAAGTCAAACTCCAGTTTATAATAAAATAAAATTTGTAAAACTAAATTTGCTGTTTCTTGGGGTAATTCTTTTGGAGTTAGGAATGACATATGCTTTATAAGGAAGTACACAAGGGGGAACGTTTTTATAGGTTGTTGTGTCAGAAACCTACAACCCCTCGTGAAGATGAACTTGTCTGCGTCTGTGAACAAAGACTTTAAATAGTGGCATGTCAGTTGATATGGGGAAGACAGATAGACAGATAAGTTCTTAGCTGAGCTAGTTATTGACTACTCAGGCGATTTCTGTACCTTTTTACCAACCTATTAAAACCCTTTTTATTGTTACATGTTATTTGGCGTTTGTCTCTACTAACCCCAAATTAACATCATGATATAGGTAAAGGGTATGCTGACAGACTAAAAAGGTTGGTTCTCATTAAATTTGAGTACTGAAATATCTCATACCCAGCTTATTAATTACAAAAATGTCCAACATTTATAAAAGAAGGTACATTTTAACTATGGAGCACTGAAAAAGAGTCACTTTCTTTTTTTAACAGATTTGGAGTAGCTCCTATTTTAAAATGGGGAGTGTGAGGATAGCTTTCTTCAATTTTGGATATGAGAGCAAGAGTGGGTTTAGCTCAAAAATAGTGGAAAACGTAAAAATATATATATATATATATATATATATATATATATATATATACACATACACACACACACATATACACACACACACATACACATATACAAACACACATATGCACAAGCACATATATATACACACACACACACACACACACACACACACATATATATATATATGTATGTATGGAGAGAGAAACAGAGAGGAAGAGATATAAGTTTTTGATATTTGAAAGTTAAAATGGATATTATACACAACAATATATCAAATGCATTAGTCATACATAGAAATAAGTTCAATGGCAACTTCAATCTAAAGAATACCCCACATTAAAAGAGAAAGAAAGAAAATTGTTGAGAGTGCTGCTATTGAATCTCATCGAAATATAAATCTATGTTATGTATTTTTTAAAACATCTCCATTCCTGAAAGAAATACTATTTTCCAAAGCCAATATACATGGATATAATTTTTTTTTAAATTAAACGAAAACTGGTAAATTCAAAATCTATTATTTAAGATATATAATATGTAAATTAATTTCACAAACTAAATATAAATAATAATCACATTATAAAAGAAAAAGAAAAATTTGACAACAACAATAGCAACATTTACTGACTTTCATTTATTACAAATTAGATCACTTCAAACCCTCCATAATTTACCTTGACTTTCAGTTAGGTAGAAGTATATTTATTATAATTATATATATATATATATATATATATATATATATATATATATATATACTTCAAACATTATTTTTAGTGGATACTCATATTTGAGTAGAATGTCCATTTTTCTTTTTCGTTTTTTTTTAAGTTTTTATTACATCTACTGG